TGAAACTGATTAACTCACCAATTATATGCAGGTACAGTTCAGTTTACACCATGCATATGTGCCCTCAAAATTTCACGCTGTGACGGTAATTTGAAATACAGGCATAAGAACAGGAACAGCGTGAAATTTTGAAGGCAAATGCATAGTGCAAATGGATCTTATGTACGCATTAGTTATATCTATGCAAATCGAAAGAGATTTCAAAAAATAATTATTTACTTCAAGCATAGGAAAACCATTTATATTAGCGCGTTTTTCCTTACGCGCTTTTCGTGGAGTGCTGTGTTTAAGAAGCATCAGCGCCAGAGAGCGTTATTTCCTTAATGACCGACACATGGGGCTACCGAGAGAAATTCTTCGACCCGCGCAACTAAAAACATCTCTTGGCCTATTGCTTCTAGGCAAATATAGCAAAATGTGGAGCACGGTGATAGACTAGTAAAGAGGAAGTCTTTGAACTACAGAGATGCAAAAGTTCGAAGAAAGGAAGGTTCTTTGGAAGGGAGGGGGCATTTTTTGTCTTAACCACAAATTTTTTTAAACAAAGAATTTACCCCTCGTTGCTTCGTTGCAACCAACCAAAAACTAGTAGCAAGTAGCTGGGTGGAGCATACCAAGGATCGCATGATGCCGCCATACCGATCTGTCGAGATGCACCGGTGTGCTATACGATACGAGCGCCCATGTGGCTGCAGCTTGTCTTGACTCACCTGAGAGTTACCAGATAATGACCTTTCCAACAGCACATCTTGGATCTTAATGAACTGATTGCTGCATACAACCTTTGCACGGAAAACAAACGGTTCTTTCACAGCAGCAGCAACATCAGCATGGGTTACACCTCCTGCTGATGATCACTTTGAATAAGGAGCTATGAAATGGGCCAAGGAGACATGTAGATATTGTGACGCGTTCGAAATAGTCGTAGTACTTTTCAGTCATTCTGCTATGATCACAACAGAACAGCATGCTGCCCAGTTGTTCGCAAGTCAACGACGTGCTACCCATTTCTCGCGTGGTTGCATTGAAGCAATACGAGGTGAATTCATTACTCAGGGCAATCAGTCGTTAAGACAAAATTTGCGATTTTTGAGATTCTAGCCGGAAACATCCGGAGTTCGAAGAGTCTTTGTCACGGCACCCAAGGAGAAAGTCGAGAAATTGGTATTGGTGAGGCAGTTGGCCGCGTTTCGCGAGCACTGTGCTCAGTGATATGGAATAGCTGTTTTCTTTACTGTTTTTCTGCGTACGAACAAAACATCTATGTGAGACGCTACGCTTTGTCTCGACTTTATACGATTGAACTAAAGAACAAAATACCACCAAGCTTACCGATTCGGCTGTCGCCTTTCAACGTAAAGGCGCGTTTTGCCACTGTTGACCATTCTTCAAACGTAGCTATTCGCGCTTTCAGTAAGATCAACTTTTCCTTAAGTTCTCCGATGGTGTACCTTATACTAAAAGACGTACGAAAAAATGGAAATTTCAAGTAGAAGCATGGTCGAAGTCAAACACTAAAAGGACTCACTTCAAAACCCAGTTCTTTGGAGGACACTCGAGACACAAGTTTCTGATGTCTTTTAAACAAACTTGCTTTACTGAAAAATATGCGGTTAATAAGAAGAACACAATAGTAACAGCATTATAGCTTACGCTCATTGCAGCTGCACGACACGGAGGACAAAAAGAGAGTGGTGCGACAGATTTGGCAAACACGATCATCGTCGGCAAAATTTTCGAACAATTCCAGTTGTTGACGGAGGTTCAACGGTTTGATAGCATCGCGCAACTGCTGTTCCATACTCACCATCGTTTCCATGTCATGGTAAACAGCGCAGGCCAACGAAACATCCATCTGAGCAGCGTTCGCCGCCATCTGTAGAATCATCTCGTCATGAGAAAACACGCATAGTCGACGAAGGCTTGCGTAGTGGTCAATACACTGTCGACCTTTCGCTAGCTACAAATTAAACAACGTACAGCTACTACACGCATTGCAAAAACAATACGTACCCAGTCAGAAGGACAGATATTTACGGCTTCGGCACAGTTATAACCCTGATTAAATCCCGCGTGATACGATCGCGGAAAAGTGACCACAAATTCGCCCGCACATTGCATTACACTGTACACCTTGAAATATCACAATTATTATGGCAAACGGTGGAAACTGAATACCCAAAAACTTTTTAATAAACGCAATGGCAGCAAACGGACATACATGGTGTCGTGGTAGAACAGCTTTGCTCCTAGGTGCTAAGGGGTCGCTAAGGCGGGTCACGGCTCAAAGGTGTCTTAATGTTTGCAGTAAATAGATGCATTTGCCATCAATTTCATCGACACTGTATCAGCAGCTGGTACTCATTATGTGCAGAACATAAGTTAAAAGGCAGAAAATACGGTAAATAAATAGCATAATTCTACTGGATTCTACCTAGCATCTTCCACTCATCAAATGCGTTCAATAAGAGATCAATGCACGGGATTGAGAGGGTGTAATATCAACGGCATGAAGCATGTTATAGCTGGGGTGAATTTTCGTCTAAAGTTGACGAACAAATCAGAGTCCCTCCGAGAGAAACGTACCGACTACTCAAACTCCAGACTCAGATGTCTCATAGGGATATCAGTGATCGTCTCTTAACATTCAGAACTGAAATAAGTGATACGGTTAAGGAACCGTTGTGTTCCCTGTAGCAGGCGTTGTATGCGTTAATTAACCACATGAGTAACAGCAGAACGATAGGATCTAAGCACGCACAGTTCAACTTTAGAATTTTGCCGCCAAGGTTTTCTGGAACATAGGCCTGATCCTCGCGCTCTGATCCGTTGAGAATAAGTAATAACAAAAACGTTTACATCAGTGGAGCAAGCGGCCAGCGAGGGAGGCTAGGAACAGAAGAAGGCTTAGTCACACCACCTCTCTACAAATCGCAAACAAATATATGCACTACAGCCATTTGGCGAGCAATATCCCAACTGTGGCGGACGTTCTTAAGCTGCGGATTTACAGTGTCGTCATCAAGCTGCTGAAGCGAAATAAGGTTGACCTGGTAGCAGCCCTACATAAGGAAAGTCTGCTAAACATCTCACTGGTTCTTGGAACTTTCAGATCATGTTTGCTCTGAAGAGCAGAGGTCTAAGATATCAGATCGGTATTAGGAAGAACTTCGTATCTTAAAAAACGAAAAAGGACAACTTTATAACTGAAAATTACTTGCATTTATCAGTTTCCTAAACATACTGGTGTCGTCAATTGAATTGGTAAATCTCGGTCAGACTTTATTCCATTTTAAATAAACATCTTGAAATTTAACAGCTTAATTTTATACATGGCAATTAATTTAACGAAAAAACAAAGCAAAAAATAGTTCAACCCACTTTAACCCCGTGTTCGATCAAAAGCTGAGGATTTATGATCGTGACTAGATGGTGCAGCAAGTCAGGCTGACTGTCGAACAGTTCCGGAGCGATGCGTTTCATCGCGCATTCGAACTCTACGGCATCTAAGCCAGAGATGCCGTACCACGTCTTCGGTTCGCCCCTAAATAACCATGGCAGACACGTGTCAAAACAAAAACCAAATACTGATGAGTAATTAATTAATCAAAGACTATGTTTATGAATGTAGTTTGAAAATCACAACTGCTGTCGCTTCATTATCGACACGGTAATAGTTACGAGCTTGTAGTTATCACGAGAGCCAGACCGTCGTTATCTGAAATTATTTGGGCTGTCGCTTGATTTTATGTTTCCATCCACTAAGTTCATGAAATCTCTTTGGCGTTGAACAAAGATACGGTTCTGCCGTGTAGTCAGATCTTTGTATTCTCGTTGCTGTTAGCTGCCTGTAATAACTCAGCAGTAGTCACAGTCAGCCAGTCCGGTCAGCCAAAATGTGGTCAATAATACATTAATAGCAGGACACATTATACTCATAAGATATAGTAACTGTGCCTCACTAGCAGTGATCTATTAAAAAGTGAGTTAGCACGAATATTTCCTATTTAGGAAATGCATGTATTTACTCTATTCAAAGACAAGTTCGCCTTTTCCTTAGATCATGAGAACAGACTGCAGGGAGAGAGGACTAGTCATTTACATTTTAATCACCGAAATAGCACAGTACACGACATAATATATCTGGCAAGATCCTTGTCCTCGTACTTCGATGTCCTAGTGTCGTACCGTTGCAACTGCGCTAAGGACTTGACACAGAGAGGACAGTGTAGCATACATAAATAATGTGCTTTCCTCCTTAGGAAAGGGGGGTTCATGATCCAAATGTAGCGTAAATACTTTCGAATTCATCGCTAATTTTTTGGAGGAAATTCTGTCACTGTGCTGAAACAAAACGAGACGAGTAGCAAATCGCTGATCCTAGAACATTAAGGACAATGTGATGTTCTGATGCCAAACCATGCGAGACATACTGTGATGCCTTAGGTTTACGATTGCAGTTCGTCAACAACCCACCTTGGCAACTGAATAAAACCAGCACCGAAGTGAAAGCTGCAAACTAAAATTTGTTACAAGCAGGTACAACATACTCATTAAATTAAGAAGTACTGGTTTTTCATTCAGGTGATCAAAGACGTAATAGCCCCAAGGTTTTTTCAGTTTGCGCAGAACTTTGGCAGTAGCTCGCTTGGCAAACGGAAGTTTGAAAGTTGAAGGAGACGGAAAAACGCCATTTTAAGATTAAGAACAGTCATGAGCAAGTATTTGGTCATTTCATTTGATGCAGTAGTTGAAGTTGTTCTAATTTTAGTGTTTACTCTCGGTGTGACGTTAACGCCTTTCGAATATTTGTAATCGAGATTTAGTGCTCCAATACGACATCTTGAAGACATGAATACGCGTTATACGAGTAGCTGCTTGTTAGTTAAGGTAACTGACTTTATGTGTGGGGGTTCTGTGTAAAATACCGACCAATTCCCACTCTGAGTTGGAAAATAGAATTCAATATGAATTCTGTGTGAGCGGTAGTTTCATTCATGCACACATGGAAGTAAATAGCATTTATTGCAACCTACCAGTGGAGGTAGTTAATACTGTAGCTCCAATGATCCTCGGTATGCCAACAAAACGTAGAAAAGCACATGCCTACGTAAACCCACGGAACTTTCATACCCGATATGTTAGGGTCGATATAGGCAAGGGCGGACATCGGAAGGTTCGGTATGTTGTTGAGATTCCAAGGTGAATTCACGTATTGCTAAATGCGGTATGAACGACGTGTTACTGCAAACAGTAGGCAGCGAACAAAACACACCTGTTCTTGTGGAAGCAGATTTTGGCTGTCTTTCGTCGGAAAGCCGGAACCGAACTCTGACGACAACAGATCGGCCCCGTATTCAACCGAAATTGGATCGGCATCGTCTGAAACCAAGTGCCAGAATTCCCGCTCAACGGTTTTTAAAGGTACTGCCTATAAAAACGATAATCAAGAACTTGTTACAGAAAAAGTTTTATAGTTGATAACGGAGAATCATACGGTACACTAAAAACAAAATTTTTTTCTGGGGAATAGCTCTAAAAATATCATTAGCACTTCAAACGGAACTTCTTTCACTTTTTCAAAAATGACCGAGTAAATTTTTACGTAGCAGGACTGTTAACGCGGCTTGTGACACCAACTAAGGACTAGAATCACGACAATCAAGTACTTAATTTTCAATAAAGGGGACAACCAAGAAAACAGACGAATTCTAATTCTGAGTTAAGGTAGCAATCAAATTAGAGAAAGATCTAAAATACTGTTGATAAGTATATTTGGGATAACTGATCTGTGAAACATAGAACTAACTTCATCAAATCAATCGAAGCGAACGGCAGCATAGAGAATCCTTGGAAAACTGCAGATACGTCACTCTACAAAAATTTCTGAGTGACTGAAACGAAAGGTCATTGAGTGCTTCAAGTGCTGACAGGTGGACGTGAAAAATGGACTTTAAGTATGAAACTTGTTTTCGACAAATGACACAATATATATTAAAAAGGCATTTGCTGCGATTAACGAGAAGGGATAAGACAAACAAATGAATATTTGACATTGGAAGAAGGAAAAAGTTAAAATAGTCATGGGTTTAACTGAAAGAAGAAATGAACTCGCTGTATCAAAGAAAGATTACTGTGGATAAACTCAGAACTAAAGCTGAGCGGCAAATGGTGCTTTTCCACATAAGAAAGAGTTAAGAAAAAGTTCCTTGTCCAAAGGTTCCCAAAGCAGGGAAACATCACTACTTTACAAGACAAAAGTAGTAAACTCCGTCAGACGATGCTTTGACATGCATTTCTCAGGACGTTCCTCGTCAGTCTGAGTTAACTACTTCTGTCCCTAACTGCTGCCGACCGCAGAGTGGATGAGATCGGTTGACAATGTACTGTTTTGGTGACGGACATGCCGAAATATCGAACTGTTGTAGAACTTATATACTTTCAAGTCATAAAGCAAGATGAATGTTTCTAGAGTGACTGAACTATCATAATTTCTATCTGCAGCAATGATTCCAGACTGAGTTTTTTGAAAACTTATTGAACTACTCACACGTTATCCTTGACATGAAGCAACACATACAGTAACAATAAACGCAACCACATATGAACTTATTAATTTAGAATATAAGTAAAACAGGGTGACTAAATGGTTATATTCGTATACACAATAAAGCATATGAATAAAATATTTCACCGGGTTTTTTCTAAATTAGTCAGATATGCATATGGCTTTCGACAGGTGCTTACTTCTCTCTCTAGCGTCCAGCAGAGTTACAAAGCTGACAACACCCTCGAGCAGTAAAATCCTTCATTATTAAACTAAGAATTATAATGGTTTACTCCGCATGTGAATTTTATTAAACAAATACCGACGATTCGAATCTAGCTGGAACAATATTCAGGAAGCAAACCGGGATTCGAAACGTCAGATATAATGGTAAATAAAATATGTAAATATAAATGTAAATAACATTTATATGCAGAATAAGCTGTTTGAAGTTTTGGCGATTAAGCACTTTCCACTCGTAAGAAGAATTCAAGTAATCATTTTAAAACAAATAATTAGAACTTAAGTATAAACCGATATTAATAGCTGACAATAAAGAATTTTCTAATGATGCAATTGCTTTAAGTAATCCATCTATAACTAACAACAAAATAGCAGAAACCTACATGACAAGGCATCCCGAAATACTTTTCTTTAAACTCATCTGCCATTTTTC